GGTCGGAAGAGGGGAAGAGAGATTTTACGCGTTCACGCGATCCTTCTCTCTCCCCTACCCCGGAAACCACAAAATGCTTCAAAGATTTTACGCAAATCTTCACCCCCCTTGGAAATCGGGTTAAACTACCGTCTCGTTGCAGACAACCTGGCCTGACTCCTAGGTGGATTCATTATTACATTCACCCTACCTCTCTTTCACCCATTCGTTCTCCTCGCCCTCTTCATCTTCCTTCTCCCGTTTCCGAATTATCTTCCCCCCATTGAAGCCGTGGAGAATAATTATCCGCTGTAGGCTTACGGATAAAAGACCGCCATTGAAAACCATCCCCTTTGCCGCCCCTTTGCCATTCTGCTATCTGTTATCTTCGTAAATCAACGTAATTTCGTAGTGTGAACGCTTGTTATGGCAGCTTGTCGACCATTGATTGCGAGGGCTCGTACAGTTTCACTTTGCTTCGAAAAATATGAAACAATTGTTTCTCCTTTTTTCACATATTTTTTTACTCTTCGCTGATTCTGTCAACTGTTCTGCGAACGATAGATATGCCAGACTCGGGATAATTATCTTTCTTATTTTTCTGTTCTTTTGAAAAATCTTTCGTGCAAAAGTATTGTAGAAATTAATTACAAGGGAAATTATAAACATTCGATAAAATTTGCACGAAATTTGTATTTTACGAATGGTAATGTATTATTTGTAAGCGCGTATAAATTGAAATAATTTTATTGAAATTGCCGGTGAAAATTGTTAAGTACCTTGCAGTGCGTTTTAAATAATAATTATTTCTGATTAAAAGTACGTTTGAACGATACTTCGTTATAATTATGTCATTGTATTTCATTGTATTCGTATTAAAAAATTATGTAATAATTTGTATTTAAAATTGATACTCGTAGGGAACTGGAAGAAAAAAAGAAAAAGGGAACGTAAATTTAAAAGTGGGATTTGCTTAAAAGGAAAGTTAATGAATAAGAGAGATACGAATCTTGGGATTGTTACGCTAAATAGGACTTAACCTTGCGGTGTGACTTCAAATGGAACACTTGTTCATTAAGAAGCTTGAAGCAGCGCTTGAATAATAAGTGGAGGGTCAAAATTAGAGTTAGGGAAATGAGTCGTATTTTAATTTCACATGACCTCGAAGAGTTACCGTGCCTCGGAACATTCCATTAAGAATTAAAATGGTTTCCCTACTTCGTTTTAAGTATCC